TTTAATAAAGTCCGTCTTATTTGAAAATGCATACCCCACAGTACAAAATATAACCTGCAATGACATTCATCTGAGTTTCAATTTTGATCAATTATACTGATTAATAATTAACCATGAGAACATATTGAGAGTGCTATCGAGAAGGCTATATTTTCTAATTCGATAAACTTTTTAAATATGCAATCGTCAAAGAATTTAAATGGACAATTTAACATATATATAACTTTATCAAACTTTTAGTTTCTACAATTTATGATAGAATATAATCAAAATGATGATCAAAACCTATCTTTAGTCACATTGTAATTTATTACATATGGGGAGATATCGAAGCATACGTATTCTTTTTAATTTATGAAATGGATGAAGTCGGTCCATATTCAAATATGATAGTGATAGTAACAGTTTGATGGTAATATCAAGTGGATCAGAGTCTTTCTCACTTTCTTGTTACAAGAATAATAATAATATATGTAATAGACTTCTTATTGGTAATAATTTTTCATTTTTAGCCTTCTTTATTTGCTAATAAAATACATTCTGTTGATTGATAATTAAAATTAATATCTAGGTATGAAATCAAACTGTCTTATGAATGTAAGTTGCCCTTCTGAGTGCGTTTGTGAGACGTCCGTTATCAAATGTACCTTGTTCAGTATGCACTCAGTACCTATTTATATTAGACAAAATGAAGATGGATCAAAATTTGAGAAGATGTAAGTGCATTTTAGACTGTTTCCAAGGATACAATAGTACTGTTGATGAGAATTTGAATTAAGCTTTCGATTACTCAAAGATGAATATTCTGACAAGATAAAAGTGAATTTAGACTGTTTTCAAAGTTATGTCGGTACTGTTGATCGATATTTGAATTAAGCTTTTGGTTAATCGAAGATTAATAGATTCTAAATTCTATAGTTTAGTAATTTCGGTACGTTAACGAGTGTATACTAATAATATTGATGCACAAATTTAGATATCATTAGATATTATTCCCAATTTAAAATACCAAACAACATTCACGCAGGGTAGTTCCAGCTGATATCATTTTAGATAAATTAAATCTCTCACTAGGATATGTATACTTCACAGTGTAAGTCGCTACGTCAAGAATATTCACAAGTGCACCATCAGCGTTGGCCGAGACTATAAAAAGCCGAGCACTAGCTTAGCTGCTCAGTTCCATTTAATCACTTGCAGGATCACTTGACTGTTATTGCTAAGAATATTCTTACGTTTTTCTTTAGTACATTTTACGACTAAGATTAACTCAAATAAAGTGAAGTAAATAAACCTATTGCTCATTAGTAGCTTATTTGTGTAGCTGAGAGTTAGTTCAACTACGATAGGTCCCTAAGTTAGCTGGGAACACGAGTACTAGTGAAGATAGTGTTTAAGACCCGTTTTCTAGTTACAAAGGAGATTTGTAACAAATGGGTATGATTTTAATCAATTTTGAAACATTGACTTCAGTAACTTTAAATTTAAAATTGCTTTTCTCCAGGGTTATTAAAGATACATCAGTGAAAGAGTTAAGGAAAGGAAATTTCGTTGGTTATTCCGGTTTGAAATACTTGTCAGTGCAAATAAAATTAAATCGCCATTTTCTTTCACAATTTTATTTATAAATGTAAACCTATCTAATTTTTTATTAAATGCCACGATTCCTTTTCTTATTGATTTTTTCTACATATAATTATGACAGGGACCTTTATAAAAATGATATTAACTATATCGAAGGTCAAAGTTTTGCGGGAATGAGCGCATTAAAAAAACTGTAAGTCATTCAAGTAATCACCTCATTCGCCTCTTTGCAATATAACCCTTAATAGCTTATGAAAATGCACCAAATAGATAGTTTTATGAATTTCCTAGTACGCGAATATGTACGTGTGAGATAGAGAGTAAAATTAGTCAAAATCTAATATGTTCTATATGCTAATGCTCTGATAAAATAGTAATAAGTAATGAATATTAGGAAATAATTCGGTATATAATCTGAATTAAAAATTCAATTTAGAGTCTACTGTATCACCAAAAATAGGCAATACGCTCGTGCAAAATTAGTCTCAGTAATAATATAAATATTTTGTTTTGGCTGGGAAAACAATATCGTGAATTGTATAGTAATACTAATTTAAGTCATCGTAAGGGAAATCTACATTATATTTATTTCTTTAATGTAGAGATATATCCTCCAATTTTATCACAATGTTATCGCCAGAAATGTTTTACGGGTTGGCAGCTGTTACAGAAATGTTAGTTTTCGATATTGACGTACAGAACTGTTTCAAAATTGTTTTAACGTGTCATCATCTGCGCATTATTGATGCATTCTATTGACAGGCTATATCTAAAAAATAAGTTGGATAAGACATTAGACAAGAAAAATATAATAAAGTTGATTGTATTTCCGTCAGATAAATTGATTATGCTATAGGATAGATTTACTATTTATGGCTGCAGTCGCTCATTAATAAATCACATTATATAATCAAAGATGATTTTTAAGCTTGATGAATGAATGTTTCGTTATATACGAGTATTTGTTTATTCTTGAAGAATAGATTCTTTGTGCTGGTTGGTATTACTATATATATGATTTGTACTCTAGTCGATTTTTTAAGCTCTTATAGTTATTAATACTTATACCATATATCATACTGATAACGACATCAGTTATAACTGAAGGTATTAAAATTGATACGAGAATATACTAGTCAAAAATGCACATTTCGCAAAATCTTATTGATCTAGTAGCAGCCTATGCAGTTCTAAGTTGAACTTTATCAAATATCAGTAGCCATAAATGAATTATTTTTAATTCATTTCACCTATTTGGATTAGACTTGTGAAAGACAATCAAGTGGAAGCAATTGACGTTAACACCTTCAGAGAATTGACCAACTTGAAAGTGCTGTTAAGTATTAACTAGAGTTTATAGGCAATTGCGTGCGTAATAATTAATTTAATTTACATTTAAAACTAGCTTCAAATATGCACTAGCGTAAGTTGATAAAATGATTCATAAGATCTACCGTTTTCTAATTTAATGAAAATTAAAAATTATCATTTAATTATTTACCTTATTTATTAAAACTATTATTTGATTTTATAGGGCATTAGATGGCAATAAAATTGATCGCATCGATCCCATGATTTTTTATTACAACAAAAATTTAACAAATTTGTAAGTTAATAGCGTAGACTATGCTTAAACAATTAAGAAATACGCCTTGATACATAAAATATATCACTAGTTTAGTATATAATAAGTTTTTAGCAAAGCATATGATATTTAATATCCTTTCATAAGTGACCTATAATATGTTATTATCGAACTTACAGTAACTAAAAACATTTTAATGCTATTTCTTCTTTAATTGCGAATACTGCGGATGCATACATATATAATATATGGATAATAAATTCAAATTTTAAGACATTTATTTCTCTTGTTATATGAGACAATAAACGATTGGTCTACTACTGCATTATGTATTACCTATTTGCTAGACAATATTCTTTATTGCGTTTTAAAATTTATTTCTAGAGGCTTGAAATATAACAGAATTCGCCACTTAACACCTGCATTCACCACGCTGAAAAGACTTAAGATTCTGTAAGAACTAAAATAAAGTTTAATTTCCATTACTGCGTTAAAATACAAATTATTGCATTATTCGTAATAAGCTGCCAAGTCTCAAATTTACTGCAGTCTGTGGAATAGCTTTCAAAATGAGATTAGTCTTGATAATCAAGAGTCTAAGGTTATTTGATTGGTTCAAACCAGTTTTTTCTAAGAATAAATTAGAAATAAATCTATTAGTCTACAAAGCTTAGGAGCACTTATTCCCCTAACTTCAATTCTTACGGTGAGATGATTACCTTTACTTTTGTGTTAAACCTAAAATAGGGTACGAATTTTATTATACTACTTGTCGAACTTCTATTCTCGTCGGTAGTAGTTATATGAAACAGTAGCGGTAGTATTTCCTAAAACCCTAGAGAAAGATTTACAGTTAAATTTTTAATTAATACAGCGAAGTTGGTGGCTATTAGTTATCGATATCTATGACCAATTCTATATAATCGAATTAAGACATATTGGCAGAATCATTTATGATATACAACCTACCATCCATTAAAATTACTATCACAATAGCTCATAATATAACCAGTTAATGTCAATACGCATGTGAAAATACCAGTAACATACTTGCATAATTTTCTATTGTGTAATCGAATTCATTACGATTTTTCTCGTACTGTAAATATTTTATCTTCATTAATATAAGAATATGAACTTCATAAAATTTAAAAATCTATCCTTCACGTTAGTTAGAGCTGTAACACTTTAATTTGCTATTGCATCACTTATATGCTAAAAGTAAATTCTATCATACTAAACTCTTTTTTAAACAATTAATAGAATAATAGTTCTAATGTTAAAAGAAAATGAGCAAAATTAATACTACTATTTTTTCATCTTGTCTTGAATAGACAGTTGTCTAATAACCCTTTGGTTTACCTTCCTCACGCTGCTCTTTTTGGATTAATGAGTTTAGATGTTCTGTAAGTAGCAATTGTACGATCGAAGCTAAATTACAGTAGCGACCTTACTGCTATCTGAAACGATACTTAATTAGTGCTATTTATTGATCTCTTAATTAAAGCTAACAACTACAATGGATTAAAAAGTACATTAAAATTAATTATATTATTTCTTTAATGGATCAAGTATAATTCTATCCTATGATTATTAGATATCATTAGTCTTAAATGATAATTATAGTATTATTTGATTATATGCAAATTTCCAATATGAAATAAGTAGAAATTTTGTTCACATGTAATTGGTAGTCTATCTTTTATTTTTACAACAGCCTCTTGTAAATTTTCAAATTGTAGAAGAACTATTTCTTATTAATTCCTACAAAAATTAATAAACTACAATATAGATATGTTGGAGGCAGAAATTTTAAAGGCTTTCTTCCAGGCAGTTTGAGTCATCTGCGAGAATTAAAATCAATGTAGGCTAATATTTAAGTTTTAATTTTCGGAAATCATAATATCAGTTACGATAATCGGTTTACAGTAATGGCTGTCATCATCTTCCGGAAGACGTTTATTTTATATTAATTATTTTGTGTTATTTTAAGATAAAATAAAGAAATTTTATCTAGTTTTTAGTTCGATATTTTACTAAAAAGTAAAATTAAAACAGTTATTATTTTGATTAACCTGGTAGATGGGTTGACTTTCACAACTATTCAATATCACAAATAACCAAACAAACGATTTCTGGTCTACCAGCATTGATCACATTGTAAGTCAATTTTAAGTGAATGAGCTGGTATACTTAATTAATATAACTGCATCATAATTATATAGTTCACATATATAATAAGGCGAATAAAGTGTTTTTATATATCATTTTGAATATCCCCTAACGATATTTATTTTTTGGTTTAAATATATTTATTCATATAGCAATCTTTCAAAATATACTCAAACGGCTTATAACACATTTTTATTCTCATTGTGACCT